TTTAAAATTACCGGTTTCACTTCATAATAATACATAAGAGAAAGCTAAAAAGTGACTAAAAAAAAAAAACTATTTCCTTTTTTAATAAAAGGTAATCCGCTATAAGATTATTAATGTGCCCATTCAACTCATTCAAAAACTGGTTTATCAATTATCTACGAATAAATGAACATCTACTATAGGAAATTGAGAAAACCCAAAAACAGGAAATAGGATAAGAAAAGGAAAGTTTCAAGAGAAATTAATCGTTGCACATCCTGAAAACCTTGAATATCTATTTTTTTTTTTTTTTATTAATGAAAAATCTTGATTCTTTATTAATAGATAAATTCGTATTGAAAAATTTCAATAAAACAGCTAAATAATTTTGTTCAACTTAAATTCAATTGACTTACTTATGAAAGCACGGTATGTAAGATAGATATTTGAAATTTAATACGAAATATTATCATTATCGTTAATTATTTATTAATGATCAGTCTTGATCGTCCAAACAGAATAGATACGATTTAACGATAGGAAATGATAATGCAAGTTTCCTGATTGCAGTTTTTCTTCACTGTGAAAATATTTTTTTCAGAGATAATCATTAGAGGAAATTACCAGAGCAAAAAAATAATAAAATTCCGTGTATAAGAAAACAACTATTTTCTTTTTATAATATATAATAATAATAAATAATTAAAATATAATAAATTAAAATAATTTCCTAAATTATAATATCCTATTTAGGAATTTTTATTATCTATATTTTATCTTTATGAAATTGATGTATATAGAAATATTTTAGAAGAAAGTATAATCACTTTTAGAATTTTAAAACAATATTTCAATAATAAATAAAAAAAAAATATCAAAAAAAGCATACCAAAAGTAATAATAAAAAAAATAAATTCAAAAAAGAAATTCTAGTAATAATAAAAAAAATACTAAAAAAAATTTGTAATGTTTTCTAAAATAATTTAAAAATTTGAACTGATACCAGTTAATTCTTTTTCTAAAGAGAATTCTTTTTCTAAGTTCAATATATATGCAAATATATTATACACATATGCATGATATACAGCTGGTTTAATAGTGATCGTATACAGTAAATTGGCTTTCAATGGATAAAAAAAGCCAAAAGATAAGCGTATGCAACAAGTCATTGTATACAGTCTGATTACGACACCGATACGAGGTGCAATGTGGCCCAGATTTTCAAATCAAGGCCAGGATGTTTGTTCACATACATACACCTGACAAGCAAAAACTTGGCCGGTCGACGGCGAAAGTGTCCGTGCATCTGCAACATACTTTATACATTGCAAATCCAACAGGAACGAGACACAAAAGAAAAAAAAGGTGAATGAACATATTCAAAATAATCGATTCGATAACGAATAATCTAAATAATCATCTAAATTTGATAAGATAATGTTCAAAATTACATTTATTGAGCATACTAAATTAATAATATTTTACTTGCATAATATATTTTTCTATGGTTCAATTTCATCATTATAAAATTATCTTTTTAATTATCGAATAATAATTATTTAAACATCCGCTATAATTAAGGCGTATATATATGTAATTATTATATACATAATCAGTTAATACATTTTTTATCATCCAATTAAGAATTAAACATTTATTAGAAAATTGTTTAATAATTATTTAATAGCAGCCTGACTACGCTGAATCAAACAATCGAATAAAAAAGTCTATTAAAATTCGTTGAGAACGTGAAATTCAATATGGCCGACGGATAAACACGCCTAGAACCAATCGGTGACTATTTTATAATTATTATTCCGCTCGGTGGGCAGATGGTCGGTCATAAACTTTGCCAGCTAACGGAATGCTAGCTAGTGATCATAAAAAACTATTTTTACACGTAACACGGGTGTGTCGCAGAACGTGATAGCTACCTCGATTCGATCGAATTCCAGGAAAAGGAGAGATGTGAAAAAAAAAGAGAGGACGAAGGTCCACAGCAAACAGAATTCACGCTGGAAAGGTCACGCACGGTGTGTTTACAACATGCGATCGAAATTGCGTTCTAGTATAAATATCTCGTCGAATATTCGATATATCTAACCTTGATACATCTCGTTTGGAATTGTCTCATTGTTATTTAAACTTTCTTTGAATTCTTTTGCAGATGGTAATTAATTATAAATTTTACTTTATAATTATACTTTATATATATTTATATTTGTTTTACGTATTTACATATTTCTTACGAAGCATTTCTTTTTTTCCTATTTTTTCAAATAACATACACGATTATCAAAAAATCATTTATGATCGATTCTTATACAAACACGACATAGCATTCTGGAAACTAGAAATACTAAAAAAGAAATTTCAAATACGAGCTAAGCTATACAAACAGTCGATAACCATCACTCTTTATTTGATTGTTAGTTCTTTCAGTAAGATTTACTAATATACAATTTGACGATTTAAATGATATACTACTTCTTTTTTGTTATTTATAAAAATTAATTATAAAAAAAATATCGGATGAAAAAATTACCGTTGATATCATTTAATTTTTTTTTTCTTTAATTCAATTTTAGAATATGATATAGTAATTCGATATAAAAAAACTGTAATTATTATTATTATTATTAATTTATTATTATTCATTAATATAATGTTTCGTTGGATGATAATTTTGAATTTATACTTATTATGAAAACGGAATTTATCATTGAAAATTAATTAAAACGATTCATCAATTTGAAACAAGATTTTTTAATTTATCAAGAGAATATACAAAATACGTTATGAGAATATATTGCCCTGAGAAATATGAGAAAAAAAATATAAATAATTATAAATTTTATAGATAAATATAACATGATTAATTTTGTTATAATATAAAATTTTATCCCAAATTATATAAAGAACAAATTTCAAATTTGACGGTTTTGCAACGTGAACATGTTTTTATATACATATATTATATATATGTTTTTTTATATTTTTATGTGATATTCAGTCACGTTAAAATTATCACAAGATCTTAGCACATCAGATAAAAACACGTAAAAATTTTATCAAAACGATAAATATCTTACAACATCATGAGACAATTTATATCTCTGACGAAGAAATTTATTATATACGGAACAATTATGAAAATTCATAAAAAAGAAAGACATTTGAAAAATTAAAATTATTGATAATAATTAATTTATTAAAGACAATAAATATTTTGTTTGAAGACGACAATATAATATTATGAAACGATATAATATTATATCGTGGTTTATCCAAATAAAACATCACGAAAGTTACCGTTATGATAACACGTAACTCACTATGCATTTCATCATGATCATCATGGACAACGATTCGCTCAATAACCTATTTTCTATTAAAATTTAAGTTATTTCTATAATAAGTACAAATACAAATTCAAATTTCTAAAATAAATACAAAATAAAAATTCTCAGAATTCGATTCTATCAATTTTGATAAATAATTGAAATTTGTGTAAAGTTACGCAAGCAAAAATTTTAATTATTGAAAATATTATAATTTATGTATGCACCGGAATGATAAAATTACAATTATTTATCGTAAAAATGGAAATATCCAATTATCTAATCTTAAAACTTCATAAAAGAACAATATTTTTTTTGTATTATTTGAATTTTTAAAAACTTGGAAAAATTTAAAGAGAAATAGACTCACCGAACGATTAATTTTCCTTTGTCATTCCGATAATTATTAAACTTCTGCACTAGTCTCTCAAATGTACATTTTCAGTCACGAATGTCATAAATTTACAATTTTTTTTATTCACTAACACCAGTAGTATTCGTCAGAAAAGTTTTTAAATTTTTATGTTAGTTCACGTCGAACAATCACATTCCCAATTTGACTACAATCTTATATTATCTAAAAATCCAATCGAATCAAACGAATGTTTCGAATATTTTTTTTAAAGTGTAAAATTTATGTAAATGATAGAACTAAACACAATGAACGACACACGTGTCGGAAAGAAAAAATTAATACTCCTCTCTCTTTGATCGACAAACTACGACTGATCATACCTAACGGCTTTCGCGCGGATAACTTCGGTAGTTTTCGCGCGCGTTCGTCGTACCTTTCCGACAATCATTCGGGTACTCTCGGTTGTCGACTTCGGCTCTCATCGTTTATTCTCGAAATTACGGATAAACGAACGATTTTCGCAATTTATCAACGTAAAATTTTTTCCTATTATTATAAATTTTTAAGAAATATTAAATATCGATAATCAATTATTTCTAAATATTAAAGGAAAAAAAATATACTTTAAAAATTTGATTATACATTAATATAAAATATCTATTTTATGTTTAATAATTATTCAATATAATTTAATTTTTTAATAAACAATTAGATGATTAAATAATTTAATAAATAATAAATAAATAAATAATACTAAAATACTTCTATTATTTTAAAGAAGAATTAAGATTAGTATAAATATTTAGTTTTGATTTGTTTTGCAATAATGAATTAATTTATTAATGTTATTAAAAGATAATTTATAAATCAATTTTGTCCATTACTGTCATATGTTATTTCTATTCACGAAATATTTATACAAATGTTTTCCCTACTATTATACGTAATTGAGAGAAAGTTTTTTGTCAATGCGATTTTTCATAATTGAGTTCAATTAGTCGTTGTTCATTAACAATTCATTATATTTTTCGTGAAAAAAACTAAGATCGCGATTGATTAAAATACAATTCACACATTCAAAAAAATTGCATTATTAAATTTACGCAAGAATTATTTCATCATACTACATCTATGATTTTAGATCATTAATTTAACAGAAATTATATTAACATTTTATTTGAAAATCTTTTAATTTGAGATCTCAAAAATGTATAAAGTGAAAGTAAATCATCGAATGCAAAAAACATACATAATCAAATATTGTTCGATTATTTAAGAATAAACAAAATTAAAATTATCAAATTGGATAAAAATTAGGAACTCACCGAAATATTTTGAAGAAACGATAAAGTTTTAATCCCATTTTCGTAAATTCTTTTCACAGATTCACCAAGGACACTATTCAGGATCGTATTTGAAAATATACTGAGGGTGCGTACGAGGGTTACGCATAATGCACAGCGACCGTTGGCAACGATAGCATGAAAAAATACCGGTGGCAGCTGTTAAACTGCCAGTTCTGAAAAGTATACCTCCGTCACACCCTGCCATTGACTCTTTTCTTTGTGGCTGGGAAATGAAAAAGCTGTATTGAATCAAGAAAATAAGAAAAGGATGAACAAGAAACTGAATTCTGAACACGAGACAAACAATCGAAGCAACGAATCACTTGTGTAGTTGCGCATGCTTGGCACGCGCTTTTGCGCATATATACATAGTTGTACGAATGGTGGAGCCACATATTCTATTAGGTTAATTATTGTTAAAAATATAAATAAAAACTAATTATTATAATTTAATTAGAAGTTAAACATATACATCGCGATATAATATGAATATAATAAAATTTATTAATAAAATATTTATAAAATAATAAAAAATTATAATTTAGAAGACATGATTGAGATTCTGATCTATGGATTGTATCTTATAATTTATTACAAATAAATGTTTTAAAAACTACAAATTTAAAATGAATATTAAACTTCATATTGAACTAAAATTAAAAAATTAAAAAGACAAAAGTTTGATTCAATAGAAACTATTAACGAAAATAAAATATAACCGGAATTGAATTTTTGCTTTGAGAATGTTTTCTAATATAGGTTATTACGTAAGAATAATTTAAGGTACGTATCGAAATATATCGTATTAAAATATAAAAATCGTAATAAAACTTGGAAACAATTATATACAAGTTTGTGAGAGAAAAAAAGATTTAATAATTTATTAAAGAACTCGGAGAACTTTAGAAAATTCGAATTAATAACATGAAAATTTATTCAAATGCATCGAATTAAAGCATCAAATTCACTAATTAATATGATTCTTACATATCAATATATATACATATTTATATGTATATGAGAATATTGTACACACGGAATAATTTCTAAATAAAATAACTTTTCATATAAATGATGAAAACCAAACTGTAAAATGTATAAAAGAGCTCCTGTATTATATGCAACATGACCTACGCAATTGTGAACATGATTGCAGCGACACAGAGGTATGCATAATTTACGCCATTCGTATAATAAATAAAATTTATTTTATATTATTTTACTATTTATTTTACTTATACATATGTATGTATTGTAATAATCAATATATAAACTCTTTAATTCCATAAATTTCAAAATATTAATATTTTATATATTAAATTCAGATATAATTATCAGAAGAAAATCTTTAAATTTTTAAAAAAATATTATTTCTATTAGATTTGTTTGTAAAAATTATATTTTTACAATCAAATATTTTATTAATTTATTTTTTTATTAAAAATTTAATTTTTTTTCAGCTCAATTGAATTAATCCTAAGATATCCCATATATTCTAGTCTATATCAAATAAATTCAATCTATTGAAACTTCGAATTCTCGAAGTGATCGAAATGATCAGATCGAATCAATCATCAATTTATATTTATATTTATATTTTAACAAAAAAGATAAACCAAAAGATTCTAACCTAACCTGTTTTTATCGCATTTATTAACGAGGATGGAAGATATTATCGGTTCGCACACGTCTTTCGATGGAGCGCGATTTACAAGGCAAAAGTTAGAAAGCATGGCTCCGTTTGTTTCCGAAACATTGAGATTACTACAGATAAAGGTACATTTGAACATGTACTACGCGTTTTCGTTAACTTTCGATTTCACGCGACTTTAAAACTTGTTAGTATCATCCAAGACCATCTTCTTGTCAATGTGAATTTATTTACTCAATTTACTTTCAAATTATAACTTCCATGTAAACAGATATCACATATATTTATGTATTATAATTTCAGGATTAACGCGTTATCCTGCCATGTAATTATACTGGCAAGATAGATCTATTGACAGCAGATCAAATATGTATATATATATATATGAAAATATTTCTACAATATGATTTATTTTATAATATTTTATAATTGTTAATATGTATAATTGTGTATATTGTGTATAAATTAAAAAGATATATTTTCTAAAAAGACATAAATGAAAATAATGTATATTATCATATGTTAAACATAATTCAATGATTGGATCATGATGATTAAATCCCACAGAATCATATATGCAGGTGAACGTAATCTAATCTAACAATATGATACAATACAAGAGAATCATTATTCCAAAGTGCGAAACAGCATGGTAGACAGTTAGTTTTTAATCAAGAAATATACGGTATTATATACGTGGTGGTAGAAAAATCATGGCAGTGAAAGGACAGTGTATAAGTAAAGTGACGAGAAGGTGAGGCGAACGCATGCATGTAAATTGTTCACAGGTACTTTCTCTACGAATTCATTGTTATTTTCAGAGGCGTCGAGTCGTGTGTGAGATCCGCAGGAACACGAGATAACGGTGTGTAATGAGGACATTCTTGAAAGCACTCGAAATGCAATCTCTGCACAGCCGACAAATTGTCTGAGAACAGTGTCGTTCTCAGAGCTGGGCCAGAGGCTGCCATCAGCTGTAATTAATTGTAATTACGGATAATTAGCAGGATCCCTAACTCTTACATAATCAGATCCCACTGTTTCGTATGCAGAATTGGATGAATGAATGTACAGAAAATCACGTCATTTTGAAAATTAGGATATTAATTGTTCTACTGATTATTACATAAAATATAAAGAATATAGAATTTAATAGATGTAGAATTTTGGTTATGTAATTTTATGATTTAACCATGTTCAGAAATTTTTAATAATTTTCTGCATTATAGCGAATTTGTATAAAAATTTCTTCAAGAATTCATTACTTATAATTCTTTCATTAATCGATCATTATATAAAAGCATCTTGAAATCTATATTTTTTAAATTACATTTATTTAGCTTCATTAATTTAATTTTTAACAAAAGTATATTTGCTTTATCAATAATGATCTTTCAAACTCAATTTTCAGTTCAAAAATCATTAGATTGATAAAAACTATTGAACTAAAAGGAAAATTCCCAGGAAAGACAATAAAAGAACAAAACCATGAAAATCATAAAAAAATTTTCCTTAAGAAGAAAAAAATCCAAGAAAGTAAAGGAATGTACCAAAGCTATAAAACTTTCATAGTTGAAGTGAAGAAACTTCTCTCGAATGTGTTCTTTATCGACCATTCCAGACTAACTAATGTCGAACACCTGCAACCGTCCCATTGAAATGCTCCCGCTAAACGCTCGATCGATGGAACCTCGATGAATTCATATCACTTCCCGTCAGAACGGAAACGCCGCGGATGGAATAACTGAACGATTGGAAACGCGTCTACGCTTGTAAGCGATCGTTTCCTTCTGCAACTAGGCGAGGCATCCTCGTCGATGCATCCCCGTGCCAAAAAGATGCGTGTCTTCAATGTTTAACGATGAAATCGACGGAGTGAATTCAGATCGCCACAGCACGGTTATCATTCTAAATTGAACGCTTTTTCCTTTTTGCGTTCTCTCTTGGCAACCGGTCTTGATCGGATCGCCATGGTTCCACGAGCCAATTTACCACGAGGCAACAAGTGATGAGTTAACACGGTCTAGTATGATAGGGTTTAATGTAGTGGAACTTGGCCTGAACTACCTGATTGCCAAGAGAAACGATATGATGGCGAGGAGAGAAAATAGTTTGATCAGACAAATGAGTAGGTAAATGATAAAAATGACATCGAAGAATAATTGTTGGCGACTGGAACTAAAGATATTTTCTTTAGTTCGTTGACATCGAGGCGATTATTCGTAATCTATTAATTTCTTCTGAAAGTAAATAATAAGAATGTTTAAAAGTCGAGTATTCGTTGAATAATCGATTTAATTGGTAATTAACTTTTATCACAATGAATTCTATTTTTTTAATTTTTAATCAGTTAATTTTATACAAGTCTATGTATTTTTCATGTTTAATTCTTTAAATATGAATCTGGTACATAAGCTTTTTATAAATAAAACAAAATATCAAACACTTTTATTATTATTTTGATAATTAGATACAACTGATTCCTTAGAAATATAAAAATATTAATTTAAAATTTCTCTTGACACAGAAGTATACAAAAAATCACTTGACCATTGAAAGATCATCATTTAAACAGTATCAATCAAACCATCAGCGAGAAAGTTCATGTTAATAACACAAAGATATTGTTCTTTAAATTTGAGTGACCGGTCAAGCATCTCAAGAAAACCATGTTGAAAGAACAAGTAGAACGTTCAAGTACAAGAATCTTCTTACCAATTTGATGAATAATGAAGAGAACATTCCAGGAGAAGAGAAAAAAGAGAGCATAAGGACAAGCGTTGAAATGAACGAGAGAAACTGGTCAAGTTTCGATTTTCATGGGATCTGGTTAAATAAAAATTCATCGGTTGAACTGATTTTCTTGGCATGCCGTCCGATAAGCATGGTGTTAAGGTTACCTAAGCACTTTCTATGCCAGTCGATGGCCGCTCGCTTTGAACGAGCCTCGATTCGGAATGGAAATTATGTCGTCGGTCGTTGTTACGTGGAATGTCGTTCTCCGATAATGAGGGACACCGCCAAGGATACGTGCTTACTTAAACCGCTATTGTTTGATTTCATTCACGAGAAGCTTACACCATATCCATTTTTATTGAATTATTAATATGATCCCAAGATTTGATAGTAATATTTAATGAGATCACTGGTACATAATAGTATTAAATGTTTATTACAATTCATTCACAAGAAGTTTGCATCCTTTTGATGTGAAAATAATCTAAAAAGGAATCTTTATTGTACAAGTGTTATTGACAAAAAACCTATTGGAACATTGAATCATTAAGCTTATTTATATTTATATTATGACATTATATCAATTGCTAAAAGAAATAAAAAATTATCTCAAAAGACTTGAGTTATTATCAAAATCAAAAGATGAATCAAATAATTTAAGAAAAAGAAATAAGAAGAGAGATGTCTTTGAGGATGGTACGAGTACCAATCTCTAATAAGTAATTACTATTACTTTTATTTAAGATATCTTGTATAATATACACAACGTATAAAATATTGGAAACGATACTATAGCCCGAGCGTAAAGATTGATTGAAGATAGCGGTTCGCTCATGGAAAGAAACGTTAATCTATGTCCAACATGCACCAGGAGCCGGAATTAGTTTGCCAGCCGGACAATCGCGCATTAATCTTCTACTTCTGTTGCATTCGAAGAGAGAGAGAAAGAGAGAAGAGGCTCTTCCTATTAGGGAGAAACGGGAGTATTGTGAGAATCTAGCTTTTGGAACCATCCTATCTGAGCAACAATGGATCTGCTTGCTAGAAGAATTACGAGTGAAAGAGTGAAAGACTTAAATCTAACTGCACATAAACGACCTTCGATGTGCACAATTTATGATTCACAAGAAATAATTTTGGTATCTTAAGAGTGCATTATTTCAGTATTAAGTTTGATATAATAATTTTGGTATCAAATATCTTTCTAGTATTAAATTTTAAAAGTTTACCATTTTATTTTTTATCACTTTACTCAAGCTAATTTATTAGAAAATCTCTGATATATCTCTAATAATCTGTAGAATTTATTATCTTTATAATTGTTTCCTATTAATACAGATTTTTTTTGATCTCTCAGATATTTGAAGAGTTGTTTTATTATAAAATTATTATTTCAATACAACTACGCAACAACTGAAGGTTCGACTAGAAATAGAAAATTATGCATTGAGCAAGTAATTTTCAAGAAGTTCTTGAAAATTAGAATTACAAAGAGTTTCTTATCTTCGATAAGTGTAGTTAGATTAATGCGAAGATTAATACAGTATGAAACATAATTAACTAGAAGACTAACTTGATAAAATGATTTTTCTCCAATAAATGGTAGGTTGATTTTTTGCAAGTATATTGAAAAATATATTTAAGTTTTTATTTTATTTTTTAGTTTATTACGGTGCAATATATTCCAAATATTAACATTTTCTAAACCACGATTTTCTAATTACTACCAACTTTCCAATTTCCTAATTCAACCGTACATTATTTCAACACAATATTTTCAACGATATTTTGCAATGTAATAACGAACCTTTCAAAATTCTTTCAATATTCTTATTTTGAATATTGCATCTATATTAATATATACAATATTAATTGATTTATATTAAAGAAATTGGATTTCAAAATAAGAAATTAAAAATTATTTGCTATGATATACATATTAATTTATTCCTCTCGTAATACGTAATGTACGTTATATAACATATATCCTATATACATGGTTTTTTTATAGAAAAAAATGAATGACAAAGAAGAACTAATATCGCTTTATATGCCGAGTAAGCACGCTGACACGATTCCAAAGGTACTTCCAGCTAAGAAAAAAACCAAGATGAAGGAAACGATACCAGATAAGGCACAATCACGACGCCCATACTCTGACTCACGTATCCTTCTTGCACGGCTATTGAAAGAGGACGAACACGATGGACTAGATAAATGGTAAAAGGTAAGATCAATTATTGAAGAAGAAGAGAAAAAAAAATAGAATTACGAAATTGATTTATTGATATCTTAGGTAAGTCCCATTTTGATTATGTGTTATCCGACTTCGATGATACCAAAAATAAAAGAATAATAAGAATATTTATATGAAATTAATTTTTCCAATAATTGGTTAATACACATAAATAAGTATCAAAATGAGAAAGATAAGAAAAGAACATTTATTAGACAAGTAGAAAAATATTTTAAGATTAATAGTTTTCAGAAATCTCTTTGCATGATATCAAGTTACACGTGAACTCATCATTTGCTACTTTCATATTGTTTCAGATATAAATTTTATTATTGCTCGTTTAATCAATATTTCACTTTCACTTATAGGCAAGATAGCCAATACCTTCATGAAACTTCACAGCATTTTAAGATCAATAGATACTGTTGAACGATAAGTTTCTGCACTTTCTTCCTGTCAATAATAGAATTTTGATTGGAATCATTATGTATGTAAATAATATTTTTAATGAATCTCTATGCAAATACTTTAGTTTTTAAAAGAAAAAAGTAGATTTTCTACGTATTTTAAAATATTCTTCTATTTTTTTATAACCTCAACAAACGAAGAAGAGTCAGTGAAACAAACGATAATCATTTAATAGTGGTGCATCATTATGAACACCCGAGTTTCGAACCGGAACACTTTGTTTCAGCTTGGGAACATGGTTGGCGTTGAAGATAAAAAACTGGTTAATAACTTACGCAAAGTTAATATCGCAATTATGATTCGCACTGTTGCTCTTGTCTTTTCCTTCCATCTCTAACGGTAGCAAGCACTAATCACCGTATTCAAATCCATCTTTCGCGGCCATTTTACACATATTCAACCATGTAAATAAACCTGATTTGATTAAAGACAAAAAAGCACCTTCTAACAATATTATAATAATAATAGAAATTATATTATTATACAAATTGGTCTTGCTTTGCATCTTATTGGAATTGGAATAATCATATTTAAAATTCATTAATGAAAGATTTTCTTCTAGTTCATATTTGCTTTTCCTTATTTTGTTTTGATCAAACAATTTGAAATTTGAAATTTGATGCAGAATTTTAAATTTTAAACTTTATAGATATTGATTAGATAAACTTAGATATTGATTCTATAAAGTTTATAGCAAAAAAAAAAAAAAAAATCGATAAATTGTGAAAAAAATCAAATAAAATGCAAAAAATATTATATTGAATTTAATATTCTATTAATATTCTTTATAAATATTAATTTTTCTCAAATGAATAAAAAAAATGCTTTGAGAACAGAATAAGTGCAATATCCTTATATTATATTTTACTTCATGTCCAAGAAAGATTCTAATTTATAAGAAATAATCTTACACAATATATGAACTTCAATTTTTCTCAGACAAGTGAAAAAAATTATTATCCTAATAAAATTTCAAATACAAGGATCTTCTAATTTATAAGATCTACATTTTTAAAATCTAATATTCTCCAAGTGAGAAAAAAAATATTTTCCAACAATCTTTCCCTCCAATCAATACTATAAATTGTTTTCAGATTGATGAAACATCAAATTACAATGTATCTAAAATTGAAATAAAAATGTAACAAATAATCTATCGATTTACAAGAGTAATCTATGAGAAGAATGAAAATAAAATAAAAGTTGATGCAATAGTAAGGTTCCAATAATCTCTTAAGGGAATCGTTTCTGATTAAAAGGAAACCTCCCACATGTATAAAATTGCACATCACACGTGACTGCGTCCACGGATTGTTTCCACGGACACGGGGCGCAACATCCTGAGGGCGATCAGAGATCATTCCATCAGTGCACGCGTAGGAAGTTATTCCACTTGTCCAACAGTATCGAACGATACCTACTTTTACCTCCGGTTGACCTTCGCGTTGCGACTTACTTTTCTCAAGCTTGACTGATCAGAGATCTTGTCAAAAACATACGAGCTGAGTACCTGTAAGATTCTACTAGTACCTAGCTAATGTCTGATTCAATATTCCAATATTGTGATATACTATACAAGAAGATTTGAAGTAATTGAAAAATCTTAACATCAGATAATAATAATTCTGATATAAAATATCGAGGATTTAAATTGTTGAAGTGTTCGAAATATTCAGATGAAAGTACAGGAAATGAATATTTGAAAACTAATTATTTAAGGATATTATAAAGTACAGAATTGTATTATCAATGTATTTAAATGATTTGAATAAAATAAAATTTAATAAAATTTCCCGCATGTAAAAAAGATTCTTAATATCCTAGAATTCGTAATAGAACTATTTAATATGTCTAAAGTATCCTCCTCAAAACATGTAAAACGCTCCAAGTACTTGACATCAAAGTGTTCGTAATTCATAAATTCATATGATGAGATGACAAAAGATAAAAATCCTAAAAAACTTAATTTACAATTGTTGACCATTTCTCTTTATGACTAGATTGGACTATACAGTCAAATCAACAGGAAAAGGTGACTCACCTGTTCTTACGAGGTAATGTCGTAATAGCCATGTTCAAGGACCCTTCGTACCGATGATTGTCCTCTTTCGATCGCCTAGGCAGCTCCGTGCAAACACCATGCGTGAAACTGTACGTCCTCCGCTTCTTCAAACACAACATCTTTGGTTCTTCTTTCTTCGTCACACCCTCTTTTTCTCTCACTTGGACTCTCTGTTTCTCACTCTATTATCTCATAACTGAGTACCAAAACACACTCTGTGCATCCTCCGATAATTGGTCATTTTTTTAAGTTTACATCAACCTGAACAGAATCACAGTTTCTTTTATCAGTGATGAATTTATATATATATGTAATCACTTGTTATTAACTTTATATTAAGTATAAATATTTTTAGGGATACATTTGATCTTGAATAAGAATCAAATCGGTTATATTATAAATTAAATTCGTTCGATAATTATATATGAAAATTAGATCATAGTGGAATTATAGTTTTATCAACTCGAGGAATGGCCGGATGCGACTTAGAACGAAGCGGAACCGCGACTGCAAGTCGATTGTCAGAGGCGACGAGAGAGAGACGTCAGACTCGTGGCGGAGTTATAACTGTACTGAAGACTACGTTCGGAATTCTTCCTCGGGCGCAAGTGCGCCCGGTGATAATGACCCCCACGAAAATTACGGGGGCACCGGCTACCAGACACGGTCCCGCATGTATTTCGTTAAATGCCGTTTCTTTAATTGCCACTTGCTTTCCACTTGTTTTACCGGTATTTTCATATTTTTATTCTTTTTTTTTTTTTCCCTTTCCTTTAAGTCTATTCTAATTTAATCTAGGGAGGAAAAAAATATTTTTGTTATTATAATTGTATAATTTTTTAAACAATTTATTATCATTATTTAAATCTTAAATTGGAACAGAAGTTAGTTTAAACGGAATTTTAAATTTAATTATACGATACAAACGATTCAAATAATTTATTGAACCTGTAATTTATTTAAAGGAAAATCTTTTAATTGTTAAACTTTTAAAGTTTACATTTTTTGCAGAATAAAAAATGAAAAAAAATCTCCAGAAATTATGAATTATTCTGAAGAATTATTCTATAGAAAATTCGTACAATTTTATACCAAAATTATTTTCCTTCGTGTCTATTACAAAAGAATCTTTACAATATTTCCTTTTTAATTTTAATATTAAAAATAACAGTAATCAGTAATCGAATGGTCAATAATGAACAAGAACGCTTTTCAATGTATTGGAATCTGCATTTAATGCCGGGAATCGAAGACTCTTTCGAATTCCCAATAGATATCTTGATGGTGTACGTGGCGCCAAATCGGCGACACTGCGCGATTCTCGAATTGAAAATGAAGCAGACGAGAATCGCCAACCAATTCGAATTTTCAAATAGAAAGAACGAGACAAGAATAACAAAAATTGTCGAGGCGTTCATGTAATCGTCACTTTCGAGTTCTGCCCACTTTTCACCTGGAATCCATACGATGAGAAAACGTGTTACTGTCAGAGTTGTGTAATACCGTTAATAAAAATTAATTATGCGTTTCGAGCATGCTCTCTAAATTTTACACATTCACTTTGCTCAATCAATTGATTATATTATTTTTTCTTTTTTTTTTCGATTTTTTTCTTTTTATCACTTGGTAATCATTATGGTTATTCGTCATGATATTGTTCTCTCTTTTTCTCAAAATTCGTATAATTAAAATTAATTATTTATAATTATTATTATGAATTAACAGATTATTATCAAATTGATTTAATCTTAACAAAAAAGAATATATTAATCATCAATGTTAATGAAAATTTTTGAGAAGATGGTATTCGAAAAAATATTTTATCCACTTTTTTATTATAGATTTTAATCTATGATTGATTTCATCCATATCCAAGAAATGAAAGCAGTCTTCAAAATTAGGATGAAATTATATTTCAACTCTAATATGAACTAAGAGAAAATTAAACAATTTATACGTTTTATATGTTATTTAAGACAATCTTGTAACATTTCTATACGGATTTTTTTAAACTTAATCATAAATATAGAATCATTTTATCACTTTTTCTCAATTTCTTAATATTTATCTATTTTTAATCTTAACATTACTAGAATCATTAATATAAAAAATAATATAAAAACAAAGAACAAAATATAATTTGCTAATAAAATTTACAAAAAAAAAAATAAACTTTTAAAAATTTGTCATAATAAATTAAAATTACAAACACAATATGATAAAAATATATTACATTTGATATATAAAAATTTATCTATTATATATATTATCTATTTTTTATACTCTTCTTAACAAAAACTAGCTATTCCATACATAATAAAAATAATTAAATTACAGAAAATATTTTATTATCATCGACATTATGTTAAGAAATTAATTTTCATTCTGTTACCTCGTGTATCTGAGTATGAAATCGAAAATTATCATGTGCATACGGGATTTTCCAAACAATACGCATCATGATCTAACTCTATTATCAAATAGCCACCCTGAATAATAGCGGACTGGTCAAGAAGCATGATCACCGCTAACAACCAATTATTGTAGAAACGATTCTCAGACAACATGAATTCAGTGGATATAGCGTCGATGATTCAAGCTTGATTCTTCCTAATAAATTATTCATTCGGTGTCTAACGGATAGACTTGGCAGCAGAATTCACGCGGAATGCACTTCCCTTCCTTTGGATTGAATAGCTAATATAGGTGTATTAGTATCTCTTCTAAATTTTCCTTTTTAAATAATTCTAATTTTTTCTTGTTGATATTATCCTGTGATAAAAAAATTGCGCAATATTAAAAAAAGTATGTCACATTTGACATCAGGAAGTTTTTTTAAATATTAGATTGCTAGATGGTTCAGTGATTTTTGTTTTGAATTTGAGCTAACGAAGGATAGAAAATTTATGATGGTATTTCTTTTATGTTATTTTCTAACTTTCGCTTATTATTTAAAGATATAAAATTCCAAAAATCTATGTATATATTCCAGAATAATTAATATTTATTTCATTTTTCAAATTACAAAATGCAGTGGAATGTAATTTATAAATAAGCGTAGTAATTTAAAAATGATCAATGATCTTTGAAGAGGATGCGAAATATGGGTCAAAACTTCAAGCCTGATTTACATAATTAACATACTAACATTTAATAGATTATTAAGAAAATTATTGTTACCGTTAACTTCCTGTCTTCTAATATATAAAACTTTCTAGTTTGTAACGTTATTTCAAAGAATTGAATTGAAAGTTATTATAGATGAGATCCAACACTCCAAGACTTATTAAGTCTCTCATTATTTTTTTATTCTTCAAATTTTTACTTGTTTTCTTGACGATTTAGAGATAACCAAGATTATGTATATATATATATATATATATATATGTATATGTTCTGCAATTTCATATACGTATGTCAAAAAAACTCGATTTGTGAGACTCTGATATATAGTGCACATCAGAGATATATGGTAATGTGTTGTGCAGTCTTAAGAGCCGGGCTGTGCCACCAGTAAGTGCAGTTATGTTGCACTGACCGCTAGGATGCACCAGCCGGTCCAAAGGTTTGTTGCTATGCACTTTGATGTTTTTGAAATAAAAAGTGTCCCAACATGAATGAACAAGAAGAAACATGAATGCAAATTTACTAAAAAAAACTATTTTCATTGATGAATCTTTATATTAGATATATATAAAACAACTTTGATTCCATGAAAATTTTAATTTAAAAACTATTTTAATTACTTACTTGTTTGATAAAAAGAGTATAATTTTTTTAATCCAATTTAGAATAAATATTCAAGTATAATAATCTTAGGATTTCAATCTTGGTTCAAATTATATATTGCATAAAACAGATTTCAATATATTAATATATTAAGATTTCAATTAAACAACTTCCTCAAAGAAATAATAATTTATTACAATAAATAGAGAATATAAATGAACACTAACGAATAATACTAATGAAACCTAAAAATAGAAGAAAAAATTTAGTTAATCAATTCCTAATCTCTAGAATTTTTAAAGATATAAAATATGCAAACAAAAGAGATTTAAATGGCTCAATTAAACTACATTCATATATCATTTATCATATTTCCATTAAATTTCCATTACTTATATTTTTCATCAAAGTAAAGCAGCCATATATATAACTAGTATCGGTAATAGTATCTATAGAAAGGGTTAGTAAAACACATATTCCGTATAATAATAGTTGCAACATTATAAAATTCATCCATGAGAAAGATAAGAGTCGTGGTAATCCCATAACCATTGGCTCCACCATAGAAATTACGTTAATATTTTCACGTCGCAAAGCGCATCCTCATAGCCGATGAATAAACAGATAAATAGCGTGAGCTAGTCACGAAAGCGAATTGTGTTTCATTAGCATGAAAGTAAGACACCGATGCGCCAGTACATTATGATAATCAACCAGATCGACCAATTATGTAAATATCCGCAGGAAAACATTAGATAACCATGTTGACAGGTCTACTATACATTTTTTTATAATAATTTTTCTAAACTAATCATATATTGTTCTTTAACGACTTTCTTATAGATAATTACAAATATGATACAAAAAAAAATTCTCATGTAATCATCTTCATTTTGAATTTATTTAATTTTTTGAGATTATAAAAATCAAATGCATAAAAGTTGTATCTGTAATATAATATATACGTATATTAGATTTTTGATAGAAAAAAAATATAGATCTTATTGGCTTTGAGATACTCAAATATCTGGAAAGATTATTTGACTAGATAAAAATTATCCAAATATTTCATTTGATTTAAAATTTAAGAATTTTAGAATAACATTTTCAACCATTTTTTAGGGATATTTTCATTACATTAATTAGGATTAATAAAATTAAACGAACGCCATTAAGAATATTTATTATTTTCGAATTTATAAATTAGATTCAGCATTTAAGATTCATAAACCAGTCTCACCATCGTTTTACGATTGAATAAGAAAAACATAAATAATATATTTAGTATACTATTAATCACTATTAAATCCTTTCACATGAAAACTTTAATTTTTTTTAATTTCACAGTGTTCAAAATCAATTGCCGATATTTCATTGCATGGTATGAATTTTTTACAAATGAACTAGAATTGTTTATTGATACTTCGCAACTGATTATATGATGAAGGAAATATATGTGGAAAAAGAAGTTTGAAAATACTTAGAAAGCGTGGCTTAGGTAGAGCGCATTCCTTCAAACACAATGCTTCGTTGGACACGTTGTAATATAGAGCTGACATTCCTATTACTTTGCACCGCGTACAATGTGCTACATTCTCTCGCTGTGCAACGATAAACTGAATCTCCTTTTAGATGTTTCTTCCGCACATGTTCCGTTGTAATACATAATGAAAATTGACTTTGTAACCTATATTTGAATCCTTAATAGAATCGAAATTGAAATATGCGAGAGAACGATTCAAATCTCAAAATTATCTATGACTAAGACAATCCAATTCTGTATTTTGTTCTATTTAATTATTCTGGTAACATATATTTTTCTATAGAATTCGAATGATATGGTACATATATATACATTCCTATTTATATTATGATATAATTCTTGTTTATGTTAATCTCTATATTTGTATTATAACGCTATTATTTATATAAATAATCGTATCATTCAGTGTTTATGATTATCTGTATTTTCATCAATCGTTTTATTTATATAAACATGTTATTATTGTCAATTTCATTATTTATTGTATCAATTTCTTTTTTCTTTTCACTCATAAATTTTAACAAAAATCTATACATTATTGTAGTCATTGTTGTATATGCAAATAATTATGCATATATAATTTTTCTTATATATATCAAAAAATAGTCATTTTATAGCTTACCTCAACGAGATGATATTGAATTTTAGTAGGTTAACTTTTAACTGAAATATTTGTTTACGTTGTCAGTATCATTTCCCTATTATAAATCTTCGTAGATTTTCTTTTTATTATTCATTACACATCACAAAATTCACAGTCAAATGTCATTTTGTATTATTAAAATATTTCATCTTTTTAATTGATACTTGTACCGCGTCATAAACCGGCGATAAATCGAAACATCTCGAATATCATCGAATGAGAATCTGAAGTTTACAATAATCGACATCGAATTTTTGACTGTTAATCATAATTTATATCTAAAAGATTTTTGAAAGTAAATAAAATGCTAAAATAAAATGTTAATGCATCATTGTCTATAAATTTTATCAAAAATATAAATAATATATGTTAAAATATAAATTTTTAAATAGAAAATAATAACCAAATTTCAAATTTATTAACATATTTCATTAGAATTAAAAAATAGAAAAACAAAAAATATAAAATAATAATAATTAAAAAACACTGTATAAAATTTTAATTGAAAGCATAAATTATTTTAATATTGATTAATTTTGAAATTTAAAAATGAAATATTCTATATATTTTTTATATCTAATAATTTTATATCTATAAATATTTTATATCTATTTACGATAAATTTTTTTCTCAAATCTCTTGATTTCAAAATTATAATTATTAAACATTAATTTTCAAATTACAAAATCAGTACCAAGAAAAGTTTGCAACGATGTTTATCCAGTTAATGATTAAAGTGTACTGAGAATACAGACTGTCGCGACCAATGCAGACCAGCCTAGCTACTTGGCCGCTCGCTGTTAGTTTGGAAAAAATTTATACTTACATATATTATACTTATGTATGCAACACTGGCGTTTTACCTTTTTATTTTAATGAAATAATCATAAATCAATTACAATAAAATAAAAGAAAAGACTTAAGACTGTTTGATCAATAACTATTTCATAATTTTCTTAATGTCAAATTTTTAAGCAATTAGTACAATCAATTTTTTAAGATAAATAAAATTAATTATAGTTGTTATCATGAATATTAAAGTTTTGTTAAAAAAAATTCTAAAAATTTTTAAAATACATATTATAGAATAGTAAAATATTCTTTTAAATATTTTATTTAAATTTTTGTAAAAAAAGATAATGAATTACAAATTTTAATTGATTTAGAATTCTATTTGATATTAATAATTAATTTTAAAAAACGAATGGTAAAAGACTTTAACAAATATGCAACATTTTTTAATGCACCAATTGTATTCTACGAATTTTCCGATAAATCAATTTTCACATATTCAGTACTATTGTGAAAATTATTATCAAATTATTAATATATTATTATAAATAATATAATTAATATCTTTTATTATTTTATTTTTAAATATTTCACATCAAATTATCTACTTTTTCAATACTTATAGAATAATTTTTAAAAATATTATATATGAAATTATGAATTATATTAATATTTTATAAATTCCAAATATAAATAAACTTTCAAAATATATAAATAAAAAATAAAATTCTTTCTTTATTTTAAAATTTTATAAAAAATTTTAATTCATATTTATAAAATTCCTTCATAATTATTCAAATAATTTTTTAATTGAAAAATTAAAAGAAGTCAAAATTTTTCATTTGTGAATGTGTATATATATTATCGTAAATACAATCGATATAAAACATCGTGTTTCCGCGCGATAATAATTCATATAGAGACGTACAAATGTGTGTTATCTTATCATAGTAATATCGCTTTTAAAAAAAACGGATTATAGGATGAACTTACTATTATTGCCGTAAGAGGCGTCGATTCTCCTCTTCACGAGTTTTGGCAGATTTAATTTCAATTATTTTATTCAAGAGCGTCGGATTTATTAGATTTATCCGCATAAAGGAAGCGCGTAAAGATCTTATCAATAATGATCTCATGTAAAATGATCGTATATCTTCAAAAAAATCCTACGAAAGCTCTGCTGATGATGATTCTTAAATTGTTACACAAGTTTTCATCGCGAGAATCGACTAAGTACGCTGGCTCAGGAAAATTAATATTGATACATTTACTAATCGGCTAAATCTAATTATCCCATATTGTGGTTCCTGCACAAAAATAATTGATCTCTTTATACTGAACATTATTATGTTTTGTAGATCTTCATTTCATTTATGTCTTGGCTCAAGAAAATTTTTTCATTTCGCTTGTTATTTGTATATTTCACACTATTCAAGGTAAGTCAGTAGATAAGATTTCTTGTTTGAGTCACTATTCATGAATCACTATGATATTAAACAATTTAATTAAACAATATGACTGAAATATCACTTATTTAATAGTTAATCATTTTTCAATATCATAAAAATTAATTAACTTACTCAAGATATAAATACTGTTGCAGTTATAATTATCTAGATTAGAGGTTAGTTTATACTCTTTTGTCATTCAAGAAGTATTTTCTGACTATTTTGAACAGTGTATCTTTATTCTCTACATTCTTAATATTAATGCCCTAATACTTTGATTTTTTTCAATTCTTTAGTTCCTAACAGGTTAGTATTATTATTTTCTAACCTTACATATATATTCTTAGAGCCAATACATGATAGAACAAATATAAATTCAGCATAAAAAAATACACGATACGATACAATACGCGTATTTTTATTCAGGAACCGAAAACCTTATTGTTCAATATTATTATAAAAAGAAACTAAGTATTACTTAGGCGATTTTCGTAAGCTCCTATTTGGCTTTGTTAAGAGATAGAAGTACGGTCGGCAAAGACTTTCAATCGCTTATAATTAATTTTATAAGACATTGTTCTTTCATTTTTTTTTTGTTTAACACTTTTCTTATAATAAAACATTATGTTATTAGTCAATTACACGAAATTACAGTGAGCAAATTTCTTTCTCGAACTTACTTGAACTATAGCAAAATTACCTAAAAAAAAAGCATTTATAGAAAAAATTTTCATACAAAAGAGATATATGAAAAAATATATCTCGAAGCAGTGGCACTTTTGCTCTAGCCAAAGTCAGTTTCGGATATGTTATTCAACTTGTCAAACTTGATTGAACATTTCCAAATATTTCCAGTATTTCGAAAATAATGCAATCCAAATCTAATACCAACTTACATATTAGTTACAAATCATTATTAAAAATTCGAATTAAGATTTGCAAAACTTTCGAAATACTATAATAAAAAAAAAAAAACTTGTTTTACCTGAGACCTAAGTAAAAATCATAAAAAAATTTCCGCTATACAAATTGTTACCTAAATGTATCATGAATTTAATTCACATTTTTATGTACGTTCATTAACAATATTACCTCTTTTATGCTATTCATCTCTAATCAAATCGAATTAAATATCTCTTATAACTTAACAAAATTAACACGAAAGCTCTCTCTAGCAAAATATAAAAATCAATCTTATTGAACACAAAGATTCCGTATGTAATATTTGGTGCTTATCGTACCCTATTACCGGGTCAAAATACATATTCCTATTCCCATCCCTGTATGAGATAAAAAAAATTCTGCATTGCTAAAAAATTCTTCATTTAAGATTCTGAATGTTGAATCTTATTATAACAAGCAGTTTTTTCTAATCTCTCTTTCACTCTCGTTCTCTCTCCCATTTGTGCTGATTTTCAGCGATTATTACGCATACAGGACGTATTTAAGATTTATCAATATACTTATTGATAAACTCGCACTTAATACAAAATGATGTATTACATAAGTATTACACATATTAAGAAGTTCTATGAAATGGCACAAGAATTTGTTTCCTCATTCACCATCACAAGATGTATGCTTCATTTCTAAAAAATTTTGGCCAACATGCATATCTATTTTTATATTATTGTATTTGCTCTATCACAAATAATCAATCAAATATATATTGCCTTCAGAGAACTTCTATTGAACAATGCATAATACTTCATTAGTCACCACTGATACGAACAAATATCTTTTTCCTGAAGTGACTAATTATAAAAACTTAATATGCGATGAATACGATTGAATATTAATCTACAGTGCATATGATACCCAAATAATAATACCGTGTGAATATTATCTTTGGAATCAAATCTTTTTTAATAACAAAAATATTTTTCTCTCCTTTTTATTTTTTTGTTTTAAACAATAAAAAATGTATAGAGAGAATAAATAATTTCCAGATATTCAATTTATAAGTTAGATTTCTTACAAAAATTTCTTATCAAATGATAATAAATGATTATCTTGTACAAAATATGCGATTTTTATGCAATTTTCTAAATAAAAGATGAAAATATAACAAATAAAAAATGAGATAATTTATGCAGTACAAGAATTTACTGTTTAGTCATAGATTTCGATAATACTTAAACATTTGTTTAACTAAAGATATAAGAATATATATGCATATATTCAGTTATGCTTCTACTACGTATGATTAATCCGATCACAAAAAATTGATCAACGATTTATTGTGCAAATTATCACATTAAGTTTGTATTAAAGAAAGAGGGAAAAATGTAATTTTATCTTTTTCTCATTAAAAAAATTAATAAAAAAACTGTTATTTCATATATACGTAAGTTTGCCTCACTAGAAAGAAAATACTTAATTTGAAAGATGCTAAAATATTTAAAACAAATATAATTATGTCACATAAAATTTTAAATATTAAAAATTGAAAAATGAATAATTCTATATTTAATGTTTTGAACTATTATAACTTATTGTAATTCCAAATTGAAAAAAATAAATAAATAAATAAAATTTATTTTGTCTTGAACATATTTTTCAATATGTAATTAAGTTACTTAGTTACTTTATTTCTAGATAGGCAATCATACGTTACTCCTTTGCAGAAGCTCTATCGAAGTGCCTAGGCAACAACAACGCATTATATAATACTATAATCTCACTCTAACTAATTCTAAAATAATAAATAAATGTTGCGTAAATTCGTCTACGCGCGGACACAAAAGGAAAAAACATTTTAACTTCGAAAACTTAACTCCTCTACGTGTTCCATGCCTATCTCATATAGATCTGCCAATTATTATAAAAATGGTTAATTAAACTGCAGCAGTGTCATCAGTATTTCTTAATAATGCAGCCGCCTTTACGACATCGCCGCCACATTGATTCAACATTACTTTGCAATCTTCCAGACCAACGAAGTTGTTTTCTTTTTTAAGTAATCCTTGAAGGCGTTCTAGCTTAATTGCTGCCAATACATCCCAATCAGTAACATTTAATGCAGCTATGCATGATTCTGGAGTGGACTGCTCATGCAATACTTTCATCATGATTCTAACCTCATCAGATTGTTCTCCATTTCGAGGCCCACGTGTTCTTCTTACATTTGGCCCATCACAAGCGAATTCTAATAAATCCTCACAAGAGACATGATCAGATTGTCGCGAAAGATCGCTTGTATGTCTAGATAATTTTTCATTAGACAATCTATTATAGTTAGATGTTAGTAAATCTGCAGAGTGAAAACTATCATTTGAATCAGTAATAGAGGATTCTTTTGAGATTTCCGTCTGTTGTTTGTTCGTATCACATCGTGACTGTGAGCTGTTTTCTGAATATTCTCCATAATCAAACTGTATCATATAGTTTGAAGGTTTCTGAATTAATAATGTTCTTTTACATATTTGAAGCTTACTTGGCGCAAGATCACCTTTGATAGAGATCATTGAATCTTCGGATTTATTCGTGTCTGATGGAGTAGAGTTTCTACTTGCTTCACCTGTTTCATTTTCTTGAACATATTTCGAAGTATTACTTCTGAGAGAGGTCTTTGATTCAATACTGATTTTTCTCTGAAGTCGTTCTGTTGAGGAATCAATAGATTGTATATCACTAATTTCCTGTCGATAATC